TAGCTTTTATTTTGCTCGCCGCACTTTGATCATGTTTGGCTCAGCTTGTGCATGCCCACCGTGCAGTGCGTCTGTGGCGTGAGTCGCGGTACCAAAAAACAGGACTCTAGTTCGAATTCCATGGCCCATGGCCTGATGCGAGGAGAAAATTACCACAACCATGACGTGTTTGCATGATTGTCGGATTCTGCAACTGAGAATCTACTTTTAAGCGGTTTCAAACAGGATATATTCGTGGCAATCAAACTACGGCACCAACCAAGCCTAAAAGTATCTTGGTGTCAAGATTCTTTATTGAACTATAATGCAATTTAGTTATTGTAGTGCGCAATCAAGATGATCATCAAGCACTTCAAAATTACTTTGACCTAATCATTTATAACATTTCATCTTGTACTGTTCCACGACAGAGGTGAGACAAAAAAAAGGAAATCAAGTATTTATGTATCAACCTAGATTTCTCGAATCAAAATTTCTGTTGCGTTTTTTTTCGTGCATCCCATTCTAATCTGGCCTAACTGTTCGGTCCACTCGTGATTCGCTCTAGCTACTAGACTGCTGTCCGGCCCACCTGCGCAAGCGAGGCAACACAAGCTACCAGACTGTCCGGTCAATTTTTTTCAGCTCATCGGCCCAAATAAGTAAACAGCCCAGTCCACTCCACCCATCGGGAAAACTGGAAAACGAGCCAATAGTTCATGCAACGCGAGGATTCGAACCGTGGCTTCCACCATGAATCTAACAGTTGCTAACCACAAGGCCATGTGTACTCACCTGATGTCAAACGAATCGTTTTCTATTTATCCTCTGCGACCTTCAAACCTTTTCGTTGAATCTCTTTTTTTTGTTTTTTCCTTTCTGATTCCCCTTTTCACTTGGTTCTATTTTTTATTTTCGTCCATATATTTTTCCCTGTTTTTGCATCTATTTTTTTTCCTTTCTAGGACCCTTCAGTTATTTTTTTCCTGTGTTTTCCCCCTTCTTTTCTCCCAAAGTTTCCATCTACTCCAAGTTTTCTTTGTATAGTTTTGTTTTATCCCCAAGTGTACCTCTCACTTTTACTTCTTACTTATGCGTCTATCTCCAATACTAAACCACTTAGTCATATTTCTTTTTTAATAACAAGTATCTTCTATTTTTTCAATAAATATTTTTCACCACCAATTTGTTGCATCCGTTATATCCTTTCCTCGAGTTACATTCGTCTGTCCGCTTCCTAATCAATGTGTTTGTCACCCGTTTTGTCTTCGTGCCGGATGAGGTAGCTTTGTTCTGCTCCCTCTCCTAGGTCCAAACCAGTTACACCTCTAGAGTCTCATTAGCACGTGCGCTATAGATTGTCATAGACCTATGGCCCTATAAGAATCGGAGCCCTTGAGAGAGCGTAGGAGATTAATAACGATGAGGCAAGGCAAAAGACACATCAAGCATACTAAAATTATGAGGACCTGCGGTTCGGAAGACCAACAGTGGAGCAATCGATTGACCCTCACGTGATACATCTACTCCTTACTATCAACACCAACTGTTGCGTCATCGCGGGCACTAATGGCACAACTAGATCTCCCATGCACGCCACTCTTCTAGATCGTCGAGGGCACCATAAGGGTTGCACGCTCTCTCAATCGCGATCGTCAGGCCACGCCTATGCCGCTGCAAGGAGCCTGATCTGCTCAGCCATCGCCAGAGTCACGCCACACGAGCGTTGTGCCGCCCCATCGCATAGTTGCGCAGTGCTAGCCCATGTCTTAATGGTTGGCGCACCGATGTCCTACATTGCTTGGTCGTGCCCAACGACACTAGGCGTGCGTGCTATATTGTGGCCACTGTGCCACACACGGCTTCACCATACAGCAACACTCGTGACGCTGATGACATAATAAATTGTTCTCCCGTTGCAACGCACGAGCATTTTTGCTAGTGCAGATTTATGTATCTACCTGGATTTCTCAAATCAATGCAGCTCAAAGGAGAATCAAATATAAAACATTTTGTTTTATATCGTGTAAAGCATATGGTGTCACGATGCGGGGTCTCTCTTCTGTTATTGGAAACCTGGTTTTAGGTCTTGTGGCATGAAGTTTTAGGCGTATTTTTCACAGGCTAGTTGTTTTTGTCGCCGGGACTACCAAGTTCCAAGGAGCGGACGTGCTGGAAGATGGAACACATGCGAGCAGCCATTAAAATACGGACGGAAACCGAACTGAAAAAGGAATTCGAACTCGGACTGAAAAAGGAATTCATCTGGAAAAGGAATTCAGAGGAGGCAGAAAAAAAGTACGGCAAATATTTTGCCAGACGGAAACCGAACTGGAAAAGGAATTCGAACCCGGACCGAAAAATAAATTTAGAGGAGAAAAAAAAAAGTACAGCGAAAATTTTGTCTCTTTATTATTAGGTATAGAATAAGAAAATTTGAAACCGGGTAGCGAGTAACATTTTGACAGCGGGTGATTTTTTTAATATGTTGCTGGGTGGATTTCCCTACGGTTAGAGTAACATTTTGGCAGCGGGTGATTTTTTTAATATGTTGCTGGGTGAATTTCCCTACGGTTAGAATATTTTATTTACTTGTATATAGGGATATATGTGGCACTAGGACAAGTCGCGTCCACATATATGGAGACCACTTTCCAAAGTTTCCCTAGGGAAAGCACAGTGGTGTTTAAATTCAGAGAGTAAAGTTTTGGGATGTCATATCGGGTGTCACATTGAGATATCACACGAAAGTGTTCGGATAGTAATAATAAAATAAATTACAGAAGTCCTCAATAATTCGTGAGACGAATTTATTAAGCCTAATTAATCCTTCATTAGCACATGTTTATTGTAGCATCACATTGTCAAATCATGGACTAATTAGGCTTAAAAAATTCGTCTCGCAAATTAGTCGCAATCTGTGCAGTTAGTTATTTTTTAGTCTATATTTAATACTTCATACATGTGTCCAAACATCCGATGTGATATGGAGTAAATTTTAGGAGGAGGAACTAAACAAGGCCTTATTATATGGAAAAGCAAGAGTCCCCTACGGATCTATACTAGTAATAAAATTCCAATAGCTATCTCAATATCTCATGCCGGCATTAAACGTGGACAGTTGTAGGATCTCTGGTTAGCCTAGAGAGGGGTTAAATATACCTGTCAAAACAAACATTTAAACTTTTATCAAATTCACTCTGCGACACTGCCGCTCTGGAGGGCGACAATGTCGGACTATGGCACTGCCGCACCTGCAGACAACTTCGAGTCACAGTTTAAAATCAGTGAACGGAAACTTAGATCGGATAAATTTCTCAGCCTACTGCAGTATGATAGTCACAGATCAAGAGCTAAAAGTTGTAGGAACACCACACACAAGTAGATCGACTAGAAACCCTAGAAATCACCTCAACCAACAATATGAAATGCAAGTAATATAAATCAAGCACAAGTGACACAATGATTTATCCCATGGTTCGGCTCGCCACTAAGGCTTGCCTACCTCCACGTTGTTGAGGTTAGTCACTAAGGCTTAGAGCTTTCTAACCCTTCCTCGTTCTCAAGTCAAGAGACTTAACTCTTGAGATGATGGGTGAGTTTACTAGCCTCAAGATATGGTTACAAACTTCCTGAGGCTGCCACACAAGTTGGCAAGCTCCACGGGAGACACTCTAGCCGGCTAGGAGCCAAGCTCCAAGAGTAACAAGCACAACCGCCAGCCAAAACATGAACCAAGTGCTCTTTAGAGTTGGAGAATCAATGGAACTGCTCTCTAATCGAGTTTTGGACCTTTTTTCCTCAAGGATTGATGGGGAAATCAATGGATTTGCTTGGGGCTTGAGGTCAACAATAGAGGGAGAGAGAGAGCTCCTGCTCTGTTTTGGGCGTGCTGAAGTGAGGAAGAAGAGGCAGAGAGCCATTGGGGAGGAAGAGGAAGGGTATAAATACCCCCACAACCCCCAACAGACACTTAAGTCTCGGCAGTGCCTCGGCTCAAGTGCGGCAGTGCCTCTCTTCAAGTGCGGCAGTACCACACCACGCAAGACATCAATGGTAAGAGTGAAGTGTAGACTGTCTTGGCTGTGAATCTGAGGATGCATGTGTATATTTGAGCACTTGGTAGCACATATTAGCTTAAACATTGTGTCCCCCTTTATAGTACGACTTTTCCTATACTCAAATTTAAAATATAAAAGAATTTAAACCTCCTTTGAGTTTGAAGCCATCTACATTTGTAATTAGAGGCTTCTCCGTTTCGTGTAGCATCCTCGAACATGAATTCTCTGCTTGTCATCTCGATAAATCTTATTAGTTCTCTAATTACTAGGTTATTATTACTAAAACCCATAAATAGAGCTTGATTGCACTTTCACGGTCCCGGTAACGTGATTAGGCAGGAGCACATGTAGCTAGGGAATCAACAGGCTTGAGGAAGATATGATGGAGGAGCAAAATTTTCCTTTTATGTGAGACTTAAAGGGAACAAAAGATAAAACGAGTGTAATATAAGGCATGTAATGGCTGTGTATATCCACGTGTGGATAACTGGATATAGAGGCCGGATTAAGGCATGTAAATTATTTCGATGTTACACAGGAATACAAACTTTTTTTTAGTGTTATTCATGGAAGTCTAGCAGTCTAGCCGATGTTATACAGGGAAGTGAAACTTTTTTTCAGCGTTATTCAGGAAAAGTCTAGCGGTCTAGCTGTGTAGCCGTATGCGGGAATACCGAATACGATAGGACACACTTCATCAGAGTTCTAATCGGAATCAGCAAAACTGAACGTGTTTTCGCAGCTCCGACATGCACATGTCAACCTATAAAACAACACGACGACTTGTTCCCTCGAATCCAGAATCAACGAAAGAAGAATCCAGCGTTGTTGTGTCGTCTCGCAAATCACAAATCGCATCCAGCGTTGTTGTGTCGTCGATCAGATCATACGTCTTCGGTTCCATATAAATCCACATACGTACCCTACGTGAGTGCTTGCTTGCGTTTGTGAGTGGTGGCAATGGCGGGCGGCGCGGCAGTGGCGCCGAGCGCGTCGGCCGGCAAGCGGCAGGACTACCCCGGCGGGCTGACCCTGTTCGTGTTCATGGCGTGCATGGTGGCGGCCACGGGCGGGCTCATCTTCGGCTACGACATCGGCATCTCCGGCGGCGTCACGTCCATGGACCCCTTCCTGAGCCGCTTCTTTCCGTCGGTGTACCGGAAGCAGGCAGAGTCGGCGGACGGCGGCAACCAGTACTGCAAGTTTGACAGCGAGCTGCTGACGCTGTTCACGTCGTCTCTCTACGTGGCGGCGCTCGTCGCGTCGCTCTTCGCGGCGTCCGTCACCCGCGCCGCGGGCCGCAAGTGGTCCATGTTCGCCGGCGGGGTCACCTTCCTGGCGGGGTGCGCGCTCAACGGCGCCGCGGTGAACGTGGCGATGCTGATCCTGGGCCGGGTGCTGCTCGGCGTCGGCGTCGGGTTCGCCAACCAGAGCGTGCCGGTGTACCTGTGGCATGCTCAACAACGGGTTCCAGCTCATGATCACGCTGGGGATCCTCATCGCCAACCTCATCAACTACGGCACGGCGAAGATCGCCGGCGGGTGGGGCTGGCGCCTCAGCCTCGGGCTGGCGGCCGTCCCGGCCGCCATCATCACCGTCGGCTCCCTGTTCCTTCCGGACACGCCCAACTCCCTCCTGGAGCGCGGCCGGCCCGAGGAGGCGAAGCGGATGCTGCAGCGAGTGCGCGGCACCGACGACGTGGCCGACGAGTACGACGACCTGGTGGCGGCCGGCGAGGCGTCCAGGGCGGTGACGCACCCGTGGCGCGACATCAGGCAGCGGCGGTACCGGCCCCAGCTGGTGATGGCGGTGGCGATCCCGCTGTTCCAGCAGCTGACGGGCATCAACGTGATCATGTTCTACGCGCCGGTGCTGTTCAAGACGCTGGGCTTCGGCGGCACCGCGTCGCTCATGTCGGCGGTGATCACCGGGCTCGTCAACCTCGTGTCCACGCTCGTGTCGGTGTTCACGGTGGACCGCGCCGGGCGCCGCGCGTTGTTCCTGGAGGGCGGGGCGCAGATGCTGGCGGCGCAGGTTGCGGTGGGCGCCCTCATCGGCGCCAAGTTCGGGTGGAGCGGCGTGGCGACGGTCCCGGCGGGGTACGCGGCGGCGACGGTGGTGGTGATGTGCGTCTACGTGGCTGGCTTCGCGTGGTCGTGGGGGCCCCTGGGGTGGCTGGTGCCCAGCGAGGTGATGCCGCTGGAGGTGCGGCCGGCGGGCCAGAGCATCACCGTCGCCGTCAACATGCTCATGACCTTCGCCGTCGCGCAGGCCTTCCTCCCCATGCTGTGCCGCCTCAAGTTCGTGCTCTTCTTCTTCTTCGCCGCCTGCGTCGTCGTCATGACGCTCTTCATCGCGCTCTTCCTGCCGGAGACCAAGGGTGTGCCCATCGAGGACATGGCCGGCGTCTGGAAGACGCACTGGTACTGGAAACGGTTTGTCAACGACGGCGACGACACTGACGGCCATGGAGTCGACATCGAGATGGGCTGCGTCGGCGAGGCAAAGAAGTAGAAGATTTAATAATGTTCATGTGTTAGCTTTTCCTTTAAAGAATGTTTCGTGTGTTTATAGTTGTTTATATATTATTACCTGCAAAAGTAGTTTGTGAGCTTTTCGTTTCAAAAAAAAAAAAAATGTGACCTTTAATAATGTTCGTGGGCTTTATTAATATAGTGTTTGTGTCTTTTTTTTTTTGACATTATTCTTTGTTTGTTCTGTTTTGTTAATAGCATGGTTGTTTGTGGGGCTGTGCTCCTACATTTGGTCGACATATGAAAAACGCGAGATTTATTTTGAACGACGAACCAGCACCTTAAAAATGTGTCATTATGTACTTTGTGAGTGTGCAGTTGGCTTTGCTGTAAAATATCAAATTTATCACAAGTAGCGCATGTTTAATTTGGGCCAAGTTCAGTGATTTTGCACTGCTATCCCAGGCATAACAAATAACATCGGTAATCTAAACCCTTGATCAAACAGCATTTGGTGAGAGCAATTTATCTCCTGCCTCCTCCGGTTCTCCCACTTTCTGTTCTGCAAACGCCCATTTACAAATCTGCACATTTCATACAAAACAATTCTTCTTTCCTTGTGCCTAATACTCCGTATTTCCCTATTGAGAAGCAACGCAAGACATTCCAGATAGAAACAAGGGGGGTAACAAGTGTCAACAAGAGCTTCACTATGTATGACAAGAACTTCCGAGTTACCAGATGGAATACAACATAGCGTCGCCCGTCTCCAAAGTCACTACTTCCCTAATACAACATATATAGCCGCTAATATACCGGGGAAGAACAGGCAAACATAACGCCCAAAGATTATTCCATTCTTCTTGTACTGCCCTGGCCTTGACGAGATGTCCCCTTTGTGTAAAATATTTGCTGGAACAATGTACTCCCTTTGCTGGAACAATGTATCTCCCTTCTGGACTGGGGAAGCTTTCAGACTAGGCGGAATAGTGAACTGATCTGGCAGCCCCCTGCACGCCATTCAGAGAGATCCGATGACAGCATACAACAGTCAAAGATTCCAATTTCTGTGAACGTACCAGCTCAGCCATTCCATTATCTTGTTTAGTTCACTTTATTGCATTGTTGGAGAGTGAGATTGCTTTAAGGACGGTGTGCACGATAAGAAACTTATCCCAGAATCAGTTATCATTTCGCAATCTGCAAGCAAACTGAGTGTCTCCAAGAAGTTTGTGCAGATGAGAGAGAGCCCTCATTCCCTCATCACCAAAATTTCCGATGCCATTAAGCATTAGAACACGAACGGGAGCAGACTGAACCAGCATCTGCAAGCACAATACCCTGTGTTAAGCCTCATTTCTGATAGATACGTATTGGAACAAGCAGACTGAAAGTACACAGTTCTGATAGATACGTATTGGAACAATATGGGAAGTACAGTTCGACAACCTCAAGCATAGGGCAGCTGCGACCTAGAACCACAAGGGTTTTATCAGTCAGTGGCATCCTCGCCGTAGGCCATTCGTGGAGTGTGAAGCTTCTAAGGTTGCTGCAGTTCTGGACAGTGCAATCATATCGCTCTTCTCTAAACCAGTAACATAGTGCAGGCAAAGTCTCTCCAATGCTTTGCACTTTCTCAAAAGAAAATGGAGTCCAATATGTGGCACAGCTACAATATGCCCAACATCGGCACAGGTATAATATGCGCCAACCTCAAATCCTTCAGATTTTCACAACTGAGATCATATTTATACGGGTGCTGAGCATCATAAGAGGGACTAGAAGGAGTCCCTGATAACCAGCAATTGCTGATCTGAAACTCAAAAATTTCAAGCTTCATCCATCCTTGACCGAACTTTAGGAGGTCACACTGTTTGATTCCCTTGCAATCCTTCACCACAAGTTCTACCACTGATCCGGCCCTGCCAAGGTACTCGAGCCACTCCACACTGCCTACTTTCATGCAGTCAACGAGATGGAAAGCAGATAGACTCTTGCACCCGACCGCTACCGAGAGAAGCCCACTAGAACTTATAGCTGGGGCAAATTTCAGCCTGAGGGCCTTGAGCCTCTTGCAGTTCGCTAGATAACCAATACCAGTGTCATTAATGTAGGAGCAGAAGCTTAAGGTGAGATCCGTCAGCAAAGGGCACCGAGACGAAAGCACAAGAATCCCTCGGTTGTCTAACTGCCTCCCTTGTTTGGATGTCCAACCGGAGTAATTGATCTCTACTTTCCACAAGTTGAGAAACCGGAAGCAGAGCGATGACAAAGCTTTTGTTTCAGGGTGAAGGCCACAGCCAACGCGGATGGTAACCCTTTCCTCGGCCTCAGCATTGTAGAGCTGCTTTGACACTAGGGAAAGAGCATTCAGATCGCTTGTCCTCGTAATCCTCTTGATGATTTCCGCAAGCAGTGGCTCCGGGAGACCCTCCATCACCTAGTGGAGCTACACTACTTGAGTAATCTCAGGTTGTCGAGCAGGCACAGAGTGCTGAACTGAAATTAAAGTGATCAGAAAAAAAGCATTTGAATGCAGTATAATCATACGACAGCAGAAACACTCATCAAGAAGCATATGTTTGTTTTCACTAACAAATAGCATGAACAGAGGTGCCGTAATATTATTATTTTTCCTAAATCGCTGAGCAGCCAAATAAGTTAGAGTCTACAAGCACCACCAAATTAAACTAAAGCCCTAGGCATAAGGAGAAAATTCTGAAACGAATAGCAAATTAACCTAGAACAAATCAACGAATTAGTAGTACAGGGTCTAGAAGCAAACACCCATGCCAAACTGAAATTAAATTTTCAAAGGAGCACTTGACTAGTAATCAAATGAAACTTGCGAGCGTACAGCATGTAACGACGACTAGTGGTTCCTAAACTGACAGTTCTCGAGCAAATCAAAACCATTCGCCCCCAGCAGCATACGTTACAGTCTAGAATTCGAGGCCCAGACAGTACAGAATTAACAAATAAGCAAGGAACCGATTATGCTGGAGTATTTTCCAGCTCCGTCATCTCAACCAGACACGCGCAAAAAAGAGACCGATCCCAAATTGATCAGACCCCAACAGGCCATAACAAAATCATACCTCCAAGGAACCGAAAATCGGAAGCTGGGGTCGGCTGCTAGGGACGGGATCAAGAAAAGACGGCGCCCAGCACGGCTGGAAGAGCAGAGGACCGAAACGGCGGCGACGGCGCTCGCATGGTCGGCCCTCCTCCTCTCCGCTCCGGCCTCCGGCGTCAGTGAGATATTTTCTTCCTCCTTTCACTTGTCGAGCTGAAGGAAAATATCTTCTTTGTGGTCCCGATAAAAAGTTAGGCTGGGCTGGGCCGTCATGTGACGTGGGCCGAATACTGGGCAAATGAGCCGCGAAGGCAACAGGCCAGCAGCTACATACCGAATTTCCAGTGGTTCTTCTTCAGCAATACTTTTTTTCCCTAAAAAAAAGCAATACTTTTTCTTTTTTACGGTTTTCAGCAATACTTTTTGAGCAATACTTCTTCTTCAGCAATACATTGTAGATATCTTTTCTGTATCTGGAAACTTATATCGAGCGGCATGCAGGTCTGAAAATAACTTTTAGACAACATTTTTGTTAGATAAACTGTTCGAACGTAGCCCTAAAAATAATAAATGAAATGGATGACCCACATATTGGAGCATCCTGTCTTACAAATGTACTTGCCTAGACACATTACTAGGTGTGAAATGCTCAGAGTCACAGCCGCAGTCATAGACTCCTGAAAAACTGCTTCCTTTAACTTGTTCCTGAAAACTGGCTTATTTTATTGTGTGGATATATAGATGCCAAGCAAGCAAAGCAATAAACTAAGCACACAAGCAAGCAATATGCCTGTTCGGGAGGCCGTATCGTATCGTGGATTATAGTTTCAGCCTGTAACATCAAAGAGAGTGACACAAAAGTGCGGCGTTAATTATTTCCTCTATGAAATCTAGCAGTATCTATCTATCTATCTAGTCTAGCCCTAAAGAAAAGAACCATGTCCAGCCTCCAAAGTTGAACTTGAACCCAAGTAGCAGGTCTTCCACAGTTCCACACAGGACAAACCACAAACCTCAGAAAATAATAAAAGGCCATCCTGGTGCTGGTGGAGCATTTTCAGCACATACATGCATACTCTATATATTTGTGTCCAGGAAAGGTTAAAGCTTGAAGGAGATGCTAACGTTGTATACATTGAACTGAAGAATTATATTAGCTGAGATCAGTCTTGTGCTGTGCAATCCACCAGAACGTACGACCGACCTGTAGTGAGGGAGTTGCTGCTTGGTGAATCAGAATCCACGCCATTATATTGGGTTGGGTACCAAGAAAGCTGCTCCTTTTTTTCATTAAAAAAAACAAAGAAAGCTACTCCTAGCTAAGAACAAAAGATCAGCTACATACAGTAGTATATATGAGTGCCTTTGATCTTTCTTCTCACTTTCCTGGCGTTGATTTTATGCCGTCCCTATCCTATCCTTTGCCATCACCAGCTTTTGGAAGGAGAGGAGAGGAGAGGAGATGAGGGGGGGAGAGGACAAGGACGAGGCGGTGAGAGGCCTTTGGCTGATCCGGACCCACACGGCACTCCGCCGCGATCTCCACAGGCCCCCCCGGCGTCGTCTGCGTAAGCGCTACGAGCACCCAATGCAACACCCATCAAGATCCTTTGCATCTCGAAAAGAAGGAGAGGAGGATATATATCACCGTCGTCGTCATTCAGTCAGCGCGATGATTAGCTAGAGGAAATTTCAGCAATTATTGGTGATTGTCAGGATTGAAATAAAGAAAAACATAAAATAATACTTGTAAAGCAGAAGTTTTAAAAGAATCTACCTGTGTTCAGACTACTGAATTCAGCAACACTTTTTTTTGTGATGAAAAGAAAATGCTCGACAGGCAGGTGTCTCTGTGTGTCTGTGGCCTATCCTATCCTGGGTCACATGTGCATGGCGAGAATCCTACTGCAATCGACACGGTCTTTTGGGGGCCGGGGGATCGATCGATTACGACGACGAATACGGCCGGCGGCAGGGGTGTGAACCGGGGGCAGCTTAAAGAATCTGCTGAAAAGCCGAGCGTGCGGCTGCAAAATAATCCCACATGCACGCAGCATGCTTGTTAATTCCTCTATTCATTCAATTCGCTGGACTGGAAAGGAACCGTCCTCCCTCCGATCCAGTTTGTTCGATCGGAATATGGTCAGTCGGTCTCCATCCCCTGCCGGAAATCTCCGGATGATCCATCCATCCCAGATCATCTCCTCCGTCATCCCAATGATGTGATTGCGACCGATTGATCGCCTCATCTATCCACCGTTCCTTCCGTTGCTTTTTTTTTTTTGACAACAAACAACTTTAATTCCAACAGCATCTAGCTGTTAACAGTGTTACATAGTTGATGGCTACTGAAGGGCAGCCATTAGAGGACAATGAAATACATGAGCACTATTAGAACAGGAAGAAGAAAAAGTCAGAGTGGAGGACTCTGAGTCTAAAACAGCCTGTCTAGCTAATGTATCTGCTGTCTGATTTAGGTTCGGCCTGATCTTGAAAATTCCTGTGCTTCTTTGTTTTGTGTTGTTGATGAAGAGCTGAGTGAAGTGTTTGATTCTTCTCCAGTCCGGAGGGTTGGAGTGGTCTGAAGCATTGAGAAACAATACCAGCTCTTGATTGTCAGATAGGAAGTTTGTATGTTGCAGATTAAGCCGTTGAGTGACACTTGCAGCCAGTGCCAAAGCTGCAGCCTCAGCCATAAAAACTGAGGTTGAGTCAGACATCTTGGCTTTGATGTAGATTCGTTGTGGTGGGTGAACCTGCGTGTTGACGATGAAAACTCCAATTCCCGCTCTCCTTCCGTTGTTTGTTTCTTTGACAGCATTGCATTTACTTGCAGACAACACAGCTCAGCAGTGTTTGTTCGTTCGTTCGTTCGTTTGTTTTGGGAAGAGGGTGTTGAGAGGTTTATTTATTTATTTGTGCTGAAAGAATTATTTATTATCCCTGAAAGCTTGAGAATTATTATGGCCTTGTTTAGATTGAGGGTAGGAATCAGTATTTGACAATGTAGCATTTTCGTTTGTATTTAACAATTATTGTCCAATCATGGCCTAACTAGGCTCAAAAGATTCGTCTCGTAATTTACAATCAAACTGTGTAATTAGTTATTTTTTTATCTACATTTAATACTCTATGTATATGTCCAAAGATTTGATGTGATAAAGAGAAAGTGAAAAAACTTGCAATCTAAACCAGGCCTATATGTGCATACATAGGATAGGAGAAATGGTTGAGTGAAAGATGCAGTGCATGCGCATACATAGTAGATGATGAGGAAGTGGCTAGCTATAGTGGTACCGCCAAAGATCGGCATCGGGCGTAGTGGCGCCCCCATTTCCCATTGCAAAAGGCAATAATATTATTTATATATGTGCAGTCTCGCATTGACCTGCAAAGGCAACACCGGCCGGCATCTGAAGCTTTCGTTTAGTGGACTACTAGTGGTAGTGTCTTGCAAGAATTTGCAAAATGTACAGCAACAGTTCCTTCGAGCACAAGTCTCACACACTCCACACACGGCCCGGCCACCAGGTGTGTAGAACAAGTCTCTGTTTCTGTTTGTGTATGTCGTAAAAAATAAAGGCTTTTGTTTCTTTTTTTTCGTGAGCGTGTCCTTGCGACATGTATTTCATTAAACAGAAGTAGAGTTTGACTAGTTACAACATCCTCGAGTAATCCATAGATTACTGTGGAAGGATGGAAGCCAACACGACCCAAATAAACTTAACTTAAACTACATTACATGAAAGTTGTGCAACCAATTGGACAGGTGCAAACGAGACTGGCAAGGCTTTTGTTTCACAGCAAGAAATGCCCAAGTAGTGCTACTGTTGTTGCCTGGAAGCTGATAAGGCGTGCGCTGCAGATCGATGGAGTCATGGAGGAGCTTGATAAGGGTATGCAATAATATTAGCAATGCTGAAGGTCAATAGGGAGTTACTTGCTTGGAAGAGTATTTGCACGACCATGACCATATCTGAAATGAAAGAGAAAAGGCATCAGACGATGTGCATCCGCATAGTGCCGTGTGTTCCATTAGCTTGGGAAAGGCAGCACGTACTGCATTATTATTGTCACCAAAAGTATCTTGCAAGAATGGGTAATGATCTATATACGTATGTTTGTGTACACATGCATATCAGTTTCTTCCACCACAAGTTTGCACCTGACGTCCTGACTTAGGCCTTGTTTTAATGCGTATGTATTCATCTCAATCCACATGTGTTGAAATAGATTGGAGTGGGATTTAAACTCAGTTCAATTCCATTTCACTCCAACACATATGAATTGAAGCGAATACCCATGCATTCGAACAAAGCCTTAAGTGTGCATGTACGTGCGTGCATGTCTGGTGGTTCACT